TTAGACTAGTCCAAAGCCGCTAGACATAGATGAATGAGTATAAGTTTGTCCAAACCACTCTAAATTGTTTGCAGCAAGACCTTAGAAGTAACTTTTAGCTCTGTCATATGAATAGACCACTTTGTTAAAATCCAAGGGTTTAAAGGTAGATGAAGGAGAGATGGTAGTAGAGATGACACATTTATTCTTTACATACACAACCCTATTATTTTGTTAACCAATTCCAAGGCTCTTCTCGACATTAGATTTATGCTACTAAGTTTCTAGGCAGTCTCTGCTCTCAATGTCAACCTTGCAAAATTAGAGTTGGTGCAAGTGGGTGATAACAGGGACACTTACAATTTGTCCAGTATCCTAGGTTGCAAAAGCTCCACTCTCCCAATCAAATACTTGGGATTGCCCCTGGGATGAAGTATAAGTGATGCATCGGCTTGGGATCCTATTATTGTGATGTTTGAATCTCAGCTTTTGGGTTGGAAGAGGAATTTGTTGCCTATGGAAGGTAGACTGACGCTTATTAAAAGAACATTGGCTGATATCTTATATATTACATGTCTCTGCTAATAACACCAGTTACTAAGGCTAGAAAATGTTAATCCATTCAACTCAGGTTCCTCTAGGGAGATATTACTAAGAGAATCTAGGGAGATGCTACTAGAGAAGGGAGTATCATCGTGTAGCATGGGAAGTGGTGAAGCAGCTGTTTCAATTTGGTGGCTCAGGCTTGAGGTTGTCACTTAAGGTTAATAGGGCCTCCTCCAAGCAAAATGGCTTTGGAGGTTTATAATAGAGTAGGATAGTTTCTGGAGGAGACTAATAGCAACAAAATTTGGTACAAAGGATAGGGCTGGTTCACAAGGATGCCTACTTGTCCGCATGGAGTGGGGTTGTGGAAGAGAATTTGCATGGGGATAGAGGAATTCTAGAAGTCCATTATATTGAGCATAAGGTCCAGGGAGAAAGTGAGGTTTAGGCAAGACAAGTGGATAGATGGAGAGGCACTCAAGCTCCAATTTTTTGTGATTTTTGCTATTGTTGTTACAAGGGGGTCGCGGACAAGGAATCTTTCCAGAGATCCCCAGGATGGATTGATAGTTGAGGTTAGAAGGAACCTCAATAATTAAGAGATTGATGAACATGAATCGCTACTTATGGTCCTATCAAATTGTGTCCACAATGAGGCCAAGGATTTACTTTCTTGGAGTCTAATCTCTACGGGGACTTTCTCTGTGAAGTCTTCTACTTCCACTTGGCCAAGAGGGTGAGGAAACTTGTATGGAGTTCCCTCTAGATGGAAGGTCAAAGCATCACCTAGTGTGACCTTTATTGTTTGAGAAGTGACAAGAGAATGCATCTAACGTTGGACAAATTAATAAGGAGGGGAAGAATCTTGGTAATTGGTGTTTTCTGTGTAAGAGAGAAACAAGAACCTTGTAACCTATTACAGCGCCGATATGCATATCAGCTGTGGATTTTAGCCCATGGTCTTCTGGGGATAAGCTGGGTGATGGTGGGTTCAGTGAAATATGAGATTCGGACTTGTAAAAGATTGCACGAGACTTTTAGCTATTTTTGAGTAACCTGGAAGGAAACAGATAAGAAAGCTTTTGAGGGTACGAAGTCAAACTTTAGTAGATTCAAAGATATGTGGTTTCAACTATAAAATTTTTCATTAAAAGTCATCCTTTTATTCTCGCAACTTAGGAGACCTTATAGATATTTTGCTAGTCATGTAAATAGTTTATATGTGGGTTTGCACCTCTTGTTGCTGGTTTAATATTATCATATTTTCTTTTAAAAAAACACCATGTTAAAATTCTCTCCCTCTAACCTACAATGATATCACTTCATTGAAGTTTATACCGTCCTCTCTCTCTCTCTTCTTTTGTTTCTCTCATGTGGGCTGTAGGGCTGCCACATTCAACCAGTGGTTTGTTGTCTTCTTAAACAAAAATCTGAAATCCTGAAAAGTAAATAGCAGAGCTGCAATTGCCCATTTGTCTGCTGAAAGAAATAAAACCATAACTAACTGCCTAGGGCTGAAAAATGCCTTCTCTTACTATGTCAAGAGTTAGGTCTTCATCTCAATGCACAACCTATTCTCTGCTGTGACAAAGTTGGCACTATTTTACTTTAAATTCTAATTGTGTGTTCCATACCTGCACCAAATCCGTCCAAGTAAGATTATCACTTTGTGCAGGAATAGGTTGCTTTTATAAAACTTAACATTGTATCTTGCTTCATTGCTGGCTTCATTGCTGATATTTTCACCAAAACCCTTCTTCTAGCAACTCTCCTTAAGTTACATAAGAAGCTATGTCTTTATTTGATATTCCCATTAGCTTCTCGGGGGAGGATTATCAAAGGAATAAACATTGTTTATTTTCTATGATATAAATTTCCTGTACACTATACTGTATTTATCATTTATCTTCAAACATAATCGACTTATCCTCCTGTACCAACATAGACATGGTTATACGATCAATGAAAGCACTTGTCTCCTTCAGATTCACACTATCCACCCACAAGAGTAAGCACCTTGAAAATGCACAATAAACGACCCCACAGCACAATAGTAAGCACCTCGAAAATGCAAAACCTATCACAGAAACCCTGAAGTAGGGTGCGCATACTAAACAGCTAAAAATTTAATTGACTGGAGAAGCTGAGTAACCCATGTCGGCATGGACTGATTGTGAGGCCATAACAAAGTTGTTTTGTCCTGTTTTCTTTGACGCACATCATATGTTATGAGAGATGGTAGCTGATAAGGTCCCTACTTAGTATCTTGTTATGAGATTTTGACTAATAATATGGACTCATTAAAAGGGAAGCCAATGATGTCCTAGAGTCTAAAGTTTGTGAAGAAACTTTTTAAAGAAATTTCTGTATATCTTTTTCCTTCAGAACAGCCTTTTAAAGCCATATGCAGTGCATGACAAATGCCTTCTTTATGATGGTAACTAACTTTCTAAAAATAGGATAAGTGTTTACTTGATTTTTAAATATAAAACTGAAATTAACTGTCAGATTTAGTAACTACTAATTACATTAAGGATACAAACTTAGAAAATAAAATACCTAGCAGTTTGACTAAGTCTTCCTACTGCTCCTATGTGAAAATCCTGGACCCTTAAATCTGATGTGGACTCTCGGGGCTGCACAGTAGCTTATTCCTCTTTTATCACGCACTTTTCATCTCTTAGTGAAGCCGCCTTTATTTTTTTTCCCTGTGTCAACTGATACTATTACTGAGAAGGATGGAGAAACACAATCGTTTCTTCTTACATTTTTTCTGTTGGTAGACTACCATTTTTACACTATCTAGTGTTTGTTGTCCCTCTTGGATCATGTGATGTTTACTACTTTTTTCATTGCAGCCCTTGAAAGGGGGTTGTAATTTATTGGGATTGAACCTGAGAAGCAAGAGTTCTCGAGGGACCTTCACACCAACTGAGGCTCAGCTTGCAATATTTTCTATTTAGGGTAAAAGTTCCCTGATTTTCTCTGGGTTGTTTCATTTCTTGTTCAGGTCTTCATCGTCATGCCGTTGCAGAAAAGATCTACTCTGATGTTACAAGCAGGAAGGATAAGATATCCTCCCAAAACAAACAGAAATTAAGAACAGAACAAATACATCTAGAAAAGAAGATCGATAGACAAGATTCTGTAGCCTAATCCCTTTTGTAAGATGAACCTCTTGAAAAAAGACAAGCCTACAACAAGGGAGCCAAAAACACCATCCTAGCAAATAGAAAATGTGAAGGCTAAAATGATTGTTGAAATATTTTAAACAATATTTAAAACCACCATCCTAGCAAATAGAAAATGTGAAGGCTAAAATGATTGTTGAAATATTTTAAACAATATTTAAAACCACAAGTGCCACGCCCCAGAACAGTCTCGCTTCTCCACGTAGGCTTCTGCTTGTTACTCCTTTTTTGCACCATGAAGGGCATCCTTAAAGTTCCCCAAAAAATTCATTAGTGTTTGATCCAGTGATCTCATTGCTCTATTGGCCAGCTGGAGATTTATAACTTTGAAATGATTATTTGCAGGAGTCAGGTAGCACCTATGAGCTTGTGGAGATAAGCACTGGCAGCAAATTGGGCAGACATAATCTCCATGTTCAACAGTTGGGTCCGGAGACGTCAACAGAGCTAATGTCATTTCATTTATCTGTTGGGGATCAAACACAAGATCTGCATAGTAGGATAATCTTGGACCATCCACAGGGTTATTCACAACAACTTCACAAATGTATTGTGGCTCATTCATTGGGGCAAGCTGTTTTTGATGGAAACGTGAAAGTCAACAAGTAAGATGTTGCATCTGTTTGTCTGAAGTTATTATGATGTTCTTGAAGATATGCTAACCTATCATCTAAAATTCCATTATTGGTACTGAGAAAGTCCCAATCTCTCTTTTCTTTCTTTTTAAATTAGTTCTAACCTTTTCTGTTATCTTATTCTGGTTACATATATATATATATATATATATATAGGTATATATTTCGCATGGCTTGTAAATGTCTGCTATTAACTGTGGTTCCGCAACGCAGATATGCCCAGCAAACAAATGCAGGACAACTAACAAGGAGCCTTCTCCTTGAGCCACGTGCAACCGTCAACATAAAACCAAATCTCCAGATTATTGCAGATGACGTGAAGTGCTCTCATGGAGCAGCAATAAGTGATCTGGAAGAGAGCCAGCTCTTTTATTTTCAGGCCCGGGGAATTGACTTGAAGACAGCTAGAAAGGCCCTCATCTTTTCCTTCGGAGCTGAGGTAATCGAACGGTTGCCCAATTCGTATGTCAGAGAGCAAGTTAGAAATCATGTAAAAGAATTGCTGGAATCCACTCCCAAAGGTGAATCATAAAGAGCCGTTAGTTCTGTTTTGTATATATGTTGAATTTGACTTTCATTATTTAACAGGATTGAAGCAAATTTTGTCCTTATTATCTCATTCTTAAATCTAAAAAATCTGACCAAAAACAAAAATGATTTTGTTGTTGTAATATTTATTTATTTGATGGACTAACGTACATGGCTCAATTTTTAGTCAAATTAATCTCTATATTTTTTTAAAAAAAATTTATTTACTCTATTTTTATTACCAATTGTTATAACTATTAAATTAGGTATTACATGTTAAATTTGTTAACATGACATATTTTGATTAATTCTCATAAATTACATGTCATGTTAGATGTCAATTGGCATTAAAAAAAAAGTTAAATGTGAACTGACTGATTTATAAATAAACATAAAAAAAAACTATTAATCGTTAACCCCTACCCATACTTTAAATCCCTTTTAGCAAATGCGTTGTCGTTTACAGTGTATCTGCGTATCAACTCTATTACACGTTAATTTGTCCCTCCATGCACTCTCTAATTCATTAACCAACAAAATTCACCTTCACCAAAGATCAAGCAAGTGATCTACCGAAAAGAAAAAGAAAATGTGACTTACCAAATTAACTTGACGATTATCATGCATGAGAGAGTTAACGAGCATTTTGATATTGGATTTGCTGAAGGGCTCGCTAAGAATCCCTTATGTCGTCTTTATTTCCTTAGGAACTTGTTGATGAGGAAGGGGCCTGAAATTTTCACTTACTTCACAATACTCTTCTAGGGCGAAGGTGGGTTGAAAGAATCAAATAAGCACATATTCTTCCTTGTTTTCTTAAATGACGCTTTCCTATCCAGGAATGCGAGATCATTTCCAATGTGAATAACAAGAAAGTTTGTAATACCCAGGTCTGGGATTTAGGCCCGCGACAAACAAATTATATTAATAAAGAAATTTAGAAATTTTAATTTTTAACTTTTTTAAAAAAATTTTGAACAAAATTATGTTTAGAGGTATATTTGAAAATAATTTTCAAAAATTAGGACTAAATTAAAAATAAAAAAAGAACCTGTTTGAAAAAAAAAAAAATTAGAAAATTAGGGTCAAAGTATAAATATTAAAAAATAACTATGTAAGACCGTCATGTCAGCAGTGCGACCAATCACCATACGACACATGGCAGACACGCAGACACACATCTTTATGGGAAGCCACGCGGGCGATCTGTGTGCCAAGGGATCCGACGACCCAAATCTACTCCCGCACGCACGGACGGTCCAAATTTGTTTCCTCTTCAAGCACGATCGAACGACCCTGATTGATCCAATCGTACGGTCCAGATTCATTCTCCAAATAAGATTGATCCGACAGTTGGGAATGGGTCATGTCTCTTCGAACTGATGGTCCAAATTTAATGAAGAGGAGTATTTAAACTTCTCTTCCTCGAAAACCCTAACCCTAGTAGCAACCGATCCCGCTGGAGAAGAAAAAGAAGGGCAGCCGGAAAGAAAGTCAGACACCATCGCCGCTGCATCAGAGTCGCCGCCGACACCGGGAGGTTAGTTTTTTTTCCCTCCTTTCGCTTTGAAATTCAATTATAAGCCTCTTCACACCCATATCGGTGCTAAAAAACCAAAAGGGAAGTAGGGAACTGAGAGCAAAGCTTGGCCAAGCTATTGTACTCACGACCCAGAACCCCTCTAGTGAGCCTGAATCCCCTTATCGTTTCTTTCCATTTTCTAACCATTGGATTCTTAACTCTTTTTTTATACAGGATGACTAAAGAAAACCCCTAGCCACGAAAGAGGAACGATAGAGCCACCGCACCAAAAAATCACCCCATCAATAA